CCCTGTGCCCCCCCCCCCCATTTTGGTGTTCACCTCGTGTCCCCCCCCATTTTGGGGTTCACCCTGTGCCCTCCCCCCCCATTCTGTTGCTCACCCTGTGTCCCCCATCCCTATTTTGGTGTTCACCCCCTGCCCTCCCCCCCCATTTTGGGGTTCACCCCGTGTCTCCCCCCATTTTGGGGTTCACCCCGTGTCCCCCCATCCCCATTTTGGTGTTCACCCCATGCCCCCCCCCGTTTTGGGGCTCACCCCGTGCCCCCCCTGTCCCCCACAGGCCGCCTGGGCGAGCGCCTGTCCCTGTGCCGGGCCGGGTGGCTCCGGGCCCCGGGGGGGTTCGTGGCCACCTACACGCACGGGTGGGTCCCCCCCGGCCCCCCCGTGGCCATGGGCACCTACGGGGCTCTGGTGGCCTGCGGGGGGCCCGGCTCGGGGCCCCCCCCGGCGGAGCTGCGGGAGTTGGGGCGCAGGGTGGCCCAGCACGTGGTGGGGTTGGCGCCCACCGCGCTGGGGACCCCCGAGGACGAGCTGGGGGGGGACGGGGAGACGCGGCTGCTGGCACAGGGGACCCTCCTGGAGCCGGGGGTGCCCCTGGGCCGGTACCTGCGGGACCGGGGGGGGCTCCAGGTCTGGGACTTCCTGCGCTTCCAGTGCGGGGAGGAGCCCTCCGAGGAGCCCCCCCGGGACCCCCCCGCGTCGCCGGCATGAGGGGGTGTGGCTCGGCCCCTCCTCCGGAGCCAGTTTGGGGGGCCCCGCCCAGATTTGGGGGGGATGAAGCTGAATAAAGGTGTGAAGGAACGAGCCCAGAGTATTTTGTGGGATCTCCAACCCCCCCTCCCCCAGGACTGCTCCCCAACCCCTCCATGCCCCTGCCGGCCCCCCCAGGGAGCCCCAATTTCCTGCTGGTTTTTAATGTCAAATCGATACAAAAAGGGGCCCAAACCCCTGTGGGGGGGTGATGGACTGGGGGGTGCCCAGGAAACCCCAAACCCTCGGGGGGTGGGAAGGAAGGAGGAGGGAGGATGGCTGGGGGTGGGAGGGGGTGCCCAGGACACCCCAAAACCGGGGGGGGCACAGGGAGGCTGTTTTGGGGCATTTTCTCTCACCCCTCGGGCTGTTTGGTGGTGACCCAGGGGGTGTAAATGGGGACGCCCCTCGGCACCCTCATTGTGGGGGGGTGACACCCCTGCGGGGGCACAGGGGAGACCCCAGTGTGGGTGTCGGGTTTGGGGGGGTGTGGGGACCCTCCCCCCCATTCCCGGGCTGCCGTGGGGTCCCCCCAGCCCCGGGTCCCTCATGGAGGGGGGGAGAGGGCACGGATGGGGAGGAGCGAGGGGGGGGAGGTCACAGGGTGTCCCGGGTGGCGTCTGGGGGGGTGTCTCCCCATCCCGTCCCTGCCCCCGGGGTGGGGGTCCCTGGTGGGACGGGGGGGGGGGTCGGTGGTCACAAGGGACATGGAGGGAGGGGATGTGGGGGAGGGCAGGGGACAAAGGTGATCTGGGGGGGGTGACAGACGTTGGGGCCGAGGGGCGGTGGCAGCCGGGGGGGGACACAGGTGGTAGGAGCTTGGGGACAAGGAATGGGGGGAGGGGGGCCGGAGATGGCACCCCCCCTCCCCCGCCGTCCCCCCCTTTCCCTGACGTCACCGGCCGCCTCCCGGGACAAGTAACCGGGAACAGGCCGGGCTGGAACAGCCTATCCTGGATTACTTGAACCGGGCCGAGGCCCTCGGATGGCCCCCCCTCGCTTCGGAGCCCCCCCAAGACACCCCTCCCGACCCCCCTCCCTTCGAAACCCCCAGCACCCCCGTCTCGCCCCAAGCCCCCGCGCCCTGAGCCCTCCAACACACCCTCCCTCCCCCCCGGACCCCCCAAAAACCCTCTTTCCCCCTCCCCCTCCTCCGGACCCCCCAACAACCTCCTCCTCCTCCTCCCTCCCCCGGACCCCCGCGGACCCTCCAACACCCCTCTCTTCCCCCCCCCCGGACTCCCCAACACACTCCTTCCCCCCACTCCGGACCCCCCAACACCCCCTCCCGCCCGTCCCCACCGGGTGGTCCCGGGGGGTCCCTGTCCCCGCCCGCTCCCGGGGTCCCAGAGGGGTGTTGGTTTGGGGACACCCCCCAGCCCCAGAGCGGGGTGTCCCCCCCCCCCGCGGCCTCGGGGCTGCCCAAACCCCCCTCCGGGATTGGGGGGCGGGGGCGTGTCCCGGGGGGTGACAGCGAGGGGGGGGCACCACCCGGGGGGCTCAGCCCTGCTCCCCCCCCATCCCGGGGGGCTCAGCCCTGCTCCCCCCCCATCCCGGGGGCTCAACCCTGCCCCCCCCCATCCCGGGGGCTCAGCCGACCCCCCACCCGGGGGGCTCAGCCCTGCCCCCCCCCCCCACCCGGGGGACTCAGCCCTGCCCCCCCCCCCATCCCGGGGGCTCAGCCCCGGCCCCTCGCGGTGCCGCCCCCTCCCCTCCCCTCCGCTCCCCTCCCCTCCCCTCCCCCCCCGTACCTGCCGTTCCCGCCGCCGTCCGGCCCGGGGGGGGTGGGGGGGCAGTGGGGGAGGGGCGGGGGGGTGTCCCCGTGCCGGGGTGGGGGAGGGGCGAGGGTGGGGGCGGGGGGGCCGCGCGCGCCCACCGGAGGAAACGGGGCCGCGGCGGTTTCAAGGCCCCCCGAGAGGGGGGAGGGGAGGGGGCGGGGCCCAGGGGGGTTGGGGGAGGGGCGGCCTCGTCCGGAGCGTTTCGTTATTTTGGGTATTTCGGGATTTTCGTTATTTTCGTGATTTTTTGTGACGGACGCTCTGGGGGGGCGGGGCCGGGGGGGGCCTTGAAACGGTCCGCGGGCGCCGATTGGCTGAGCGGGGGCGGGGGCGGGGCCTGGGGGCGGGAATTGGCTGGGCCCGGAAAGGGGGCGGGGCCAGTGCGTGTTTACCTCGCGAAGTGCCCGGGCGGGGGGCGGGGCCTCCCCGGGACACGCCCCAGTGTGAAGAGGCGGTGCCTTCCGGGACACGCCCACAGACGGGATGGGTGGGGCCTTCACGGGACCCGCCCCCAGCACTGAAAGGGCGGGGCTCCCGGGACACACCCTCCGGCGGGAAAGGGGGCGGGGTCTGGGCAGTGCCCCCGCCCACTCTGAATCTTCCAGCCCAGAGGCCCCCGGGCCCTGGAATTTGAGCCCCTTTTCTGCCTTAAATGCCGTGGAATTATTAATTTTGTTTAATAAGACAGAGAATTCCCACTTTTCCCAGTTTATTTATTACTTTTTTATTAAGAAATGATTCGTTATATATTTTATTATTAATATATAATTATATCTAAACTACATCATTATATTATATTTTATATAATTAATATAAACAAATATATATAATATATACTTTGTACTATAAAATATATGTTATAATATATCATTATAATATAATAGTTAATATATTATATATAATTTGTTATATGCTGTTTTATAATATATAATTATGCAATATATCATTATATACGTATTATATATAATATCTATAATATGTATAGATATTATATTGTATATATTATTTTTACCAAATATAACTCAAAATTCCTCCTGTTTCAACCCTGAATTCAACCTATTTCCCGCCAAATTCCTCAGTTTCACTCCAAATTCCTTCTTTTTCATCCCAATTCCATCTGTTTTACCCCAAATTCCACCTACTTCGCCTCAAACTCCTCCCGTTTCAAACAAATTCCTTTTGTTTTCCCTCAAATTCCTATTTGTGTCCAAATAAATTCCACCTATTTCACCCCAATTCTCTCCTATTTCAGCCAAATTTCTCCTGTTTCTCCCCAAATTTCTCCAAAGGAAACTGTGTTGATTTGTTTTAAGGAAAATCCAGGGGCGAAAAGAGGAATTTGGGATTTTTCTTTTTAAGGAAAATCTGGGGGACGGAGGATCCCGAGTCCCGCGGGAGGGAGTGTGGCTGCCGGGGCCGGGGCGCTCTGGGGGTGCCCGAGGGGATCCCACCGGGATCCCAAATCCACCGGGATCCGTTGGGAGCTGCTTTTCCACCGGAATCACGTCGGAGCCGGATCTTCCCGGAGCTGCTTCCCGCAGGTTGGATCCGCATCTCGCAATTCCCAGTTTCCCAGGGATCTGAACGCGCAGGTCCCAACGGGATCAGTCCCCCGGATCCCGCGGGATTCGCAGCCACATCCTGGGGGGTTGGTTATTCCTCAGTTACGGAGCGGAATTCATCCCAGGGCAGCCCAGCCGCAATTCCAGGGACAAAGGGGGAAAAGCGGGAATTTTCCGGCCGGCGCGGGGAGCGGGGCCGCCGCACTGGGAGCGGACTGGGAGCGTCCTGCTGGCAAACTGGGACCGGGACTGGACTGGGAAGGGTCTGGTATCGCCCTCCGGGAGCGGGGCGATGGGGCGTGGGGGCAGCAGCCCCTTCCCGTGGGTCTCCCAGACCACCCCCCAACCCCCCCATCCCCCTTTCCCTGTTCCCCCCGGGGGTTCCCGAGGGGAGAACAGCGGGAATGGGGCGAGCAGGGACCCCCGGACACCCCCAAGGGACACGGGGACGTCCCCAGTGTCACCCCCCCAAGTCCGCGACCCCCCCTTTCCCCCCAGTGGGACGGCTTTGGGTCTCCGCCAAAAATCCAAGTTCCCGGCGAATCCCGGCTGGATCCGGCACCTCCGGCACCACCTTGGACCTGCCTGCAGGTGCCACTGGTGCGACGTGGGCACGGGAAACTGGGGGTTGATGGAATTCCTCAGGAAAACAGACTGGGAGTATAATTTTTATTTCTAAAACGGAGTGAAACTTGAAAAGGAAACAATTCCCTTTCCAACTGGAAATTCCAACCAACTGCTCCATCGTGTTCTCTGAGAATTGCTGCCCTTAAAACCTTCTGAGGGCTCATTTGGGGCTCCAGGAGCACCCAAAAACCTTGGGAATGCTGGGAAACAGCTTAGTCCCCTGTGTCAGCCCTGGCCCAAGGCCAGAGCCTGGCGGCAAACCTGGCTTTTAATGAGAATTTCAGAAACAGCCTGGAATATCCCCAATTAGGGAAAACTCCCAAGGCTCGTCTCACCAACCCCCTGGAGAGAGAGGGATGGAAATCCAGGAAATATCAACGGACCTTTCCCGGATCAGCTGTTGGGGGGGGGGGGGGGAGGGGGGAAATCCCCCTGGACTGGAGGGCTGGGCCGGGTCTCCCCAAGGCCCGCCGGCTCCGCAGCTCCTCCCGATCCCGATCCCACCGTTCTCCCGGGAATCCCGGCTCCGCTCCTGCCGCGTCCCGGGGCCGTGCCGCGCTGGGGGACGGGGGTCCCGCGGCCCGGGGGGGCCTGGGGGTCTGTCCTGCCGCGCTGGGTGACAGAGGGGTCCCGGGGGAGCCCGATCGGATCCCGGCGCCGGGATCACCTGGTGACGGAGGTGTCGGAGTCCACGTGTCCCAGGAGGAAGAGCTCGGGGCGGGCAGCGAAGCCCAGGCGGCCCTGGGGGGGGGGAAGGCGACAGTTAGAGCCGAGGGCAGTTAATGAGCCCGCACTGAGCCCGGTTTAATGAAGCCCAAAACGAGCCTAATTTAACGACGCCTAAGCTGAGTCTGGTTTAACAAAGACCAAATTGAGACGGGTTTAATGAAGCTCAAGTTGAGAAGGGTTTAACAAAGCCTGAATTAAGCCTGATTCAACAAAGGCGAAGTTGAGCCCGACCTAATGAGACTGAGCTGCACAGAGTTTAATGAAGCAAAGCTGATCTGAGTTTAACGAAGCCCCAGCTGAGCCCAGTTTAGCAAAGCCCGGGTGGGCACCGAGGTGGCAGTGCCGACCATGGCTCCGG